TTTTCTTTTTATTTCAATTGTAACCCTTATATTTTGAATTGCTTTTTATTTGCTTTAAATTAATTTTTTTTCTCAATTTAATCTCTTAGCATTTTATCTTATTTAATATTTATATCAAATTTGATCTTCATTCTTTTAATTATTATTTTTTAAAAATAATATGTTTTTCAATTCATCCCTTATCATTTGATTTGATTTAAGTTTTATGTCAATTTTGGCACATCTTCTTTTAATTATTATTTTTTGCCTTGGTTCTTTTTTTAATTGATTTTTTTAATTTTTATCCTTTAATATTTGATTTATTTATAATTAAATTTTGTTAATTTTTTTTTTGTTGCGGTGATCCTAGTATCGTTAACCGAGTCATAAGCATGAAATTTAAACCCAAATTGATATTGGTCTTTCTTTATGTTTTTTCTACCGATTTTATTTTTTGATTTCATCATTCAATATTAAGTTTATTAAACATTAAACATCTTTATTTTTTTCATTTTTTTCTATGAAGATAGCCCGACCTCGTGGTCTGAGTCACGCGTTTGCCATGCTAGTTTAGATTGATTCGGGGCTTTTATATCATTTTATTATTATTATTTATGTCAATTTTGTTTTCTATTCTTTTAATTATTATTTTTTTAAATGAATTTTCAGCCTTAAGTGTTAGATTTGTTAAGGATTAGGTCTTGTTACTTTTTTTGATGCGGTCATCAACATCTCAAGACCCAGATCATGAGTGTGAGATATTAGCTTGGGTTGACATCAATTTTTTTTTAAAAAATTTTGTACACCTGTTTTCTTTCTTAATTTCAGCCTTCTGCTTATAGTTTATTAATTATTGAGTTTCTTTATCATTGTTCTATATGCTTTACATGAGGATGTCTTGGCTTTATAATCCGGGTTATAAGTTTGTCATGCTAACTCAGATTCAATCAGAGCTTAATTTTAAAAAGAAATGAATTTTGAAGGAAAAAACCAAAAAAGATATAAAAAAAACAACCTAAAAAAATACGTGAGCCACTCAACTAAACCTGTTGTTTAGATCATGAGATGTGGATAACATGATTGAAAAGAAACAAAAAAAAATAGCGAAGTTGATTTTTCAAAGTGAACAACTTCAAAGGATTTAATCAAGAAAGAAAAATAATGTTAACATGTGTTAACTTTTTAAATCCATTACCCTAGCTAGTAACTAAACTGGAATCATCACATCTAAAAAACCATTATTTTAAAACTTGACTTGACATAATGGGTTGAGTCATAACCCATGTGACTCAGGATTGAGGACAAGTTAAATTTCAAAAGAAATTTGAAGAGAATTGATCTAGTGTGAAATGATAGAGTTGATTTATGACTCGGTTAACCCGAGAAAAACCCAATCAAAACTGTTAGATTATTTTTCTTTATTTTCTTTTTAAAATGATATCATTTTTCCTTTTTTATAAAATAAAAAGATTTGGTTGATTTGGATTAACTCGAGTCAACCCACCTTACCCGTGACCTGACATATGACCTAGATCGATTTCTGGATCGAGACTAAAAACTATGGAAAAAACCATGAAAATCAATTTACAATAAATCAAATGTTGAATAATGAAATGAAAAAATCATTTATACAAAAGGAAAAAAATTAAGAAAATAAAGAACTAATTTGAAGGGAAAAAAGAAGAAGAGGAAAACATAAAATTTTGAATTGAAGGGAAAAAATTAAAAAAAAATCAAATTAACTAAAGAATCAAAAACAAAAAATAAAAATTAAGAGAATGAATATCAAATTTGAAAAAATAAGCAATCAAGATTATGGATTTAAGAATAAAATCAAAAACAAATTAAGAATTGATAAAAGAGCTAGAAATAAAAATTAGAAATCAAAACATGAGGGTCAAACATGAAATATCATCAATTTTTGAATCGAATAAAAAAATAAAAAAGACAAATCAAATTCACAAAAGAATAAAAAAGATATCAAAAAAGTGAGGACCAAACTTGAAAAAAATAAAAATAAGATCATTAATCCAATGATAAAATTAAAAACAAATTAAAATTTGATAAAAGGATTAAGAATTAAAATTAGAAACCAAAAATTTGAAGGCTAAACTTAAAATATAATAAAATAAAAGGATAAAATTGATTTTTCTAATAGCCATTGTAAAATTCAAAAGGGAGGAAAAAGAGAAGAAGAAAAGAAAAGAAAAGGTTGGTCAATGATAAATAGTCACCATAGCCATCACATCATCACCCCACGTTGAAAAGGGCATCGTGGCATTTCCAGCGCTTTCACGGGAGCTAGTGTTCCTTCATTAGCATGCAGCTCACGTGTCGCTAGAGGAGCAAGAAGCCACCCTACTCATTAACGCGTGCGTGGCACACATAAACTACTTTTTTGAATAATTTTTTAAAATGGAAAAAGATTGGATTATCTCTAACCCAACTTAATAATAACAAAAAAAAAAACCATGAGAAATGACAAAAACGCTCTTGAATGTAATGCTTAAGAAATTTGATTTCAAGGGCGGTTTAATCATTCTAATTTTTAAATAAAGTAAAAAATAAAAAACACCCTTTAATACTAATTAAATGAAAATAACTTAGAAGAGTAATTTAATAATTTTACCATGCAATAAAAATATGAGCTAACCATTATATCCTTTATAATTTTGATAATGACATTTATATCCCAAGAAAAATATTAAATTACCCTCTAACTGAACTAAATGCTTTTGTGTGGGAGTGAAATGATAAATTTACAATACGAATCCATAGTAAATTGGGTATATGCAATTAAATTTTAATGTCTTTTAGTTTATTTAAATGATGTAATTAAAAATTCTCAAACTAATCAACACGGATAAGGTTAGGTTATTGTATTGATTGCTAACACAACACAAATTTTAAATAATCTAAACTCAAGGTAGTCCAATCTTACTAGCAAGTCATTACATTTAAAGTTAAAACCCTCTAGTTTTTACTATAGACTGTGAATAATGAAATTCATAATAAAATAACAATTTTATTCTCAAAGAACCAAACAATTGAACAAAAACTCAGGGCTAAAATAATATTTCCACACTCCATATTGTAATTACTCTCGTACTCTTGAAAAAAAACAGCACATCTTATAACTAAGGGCTTTTTGTGATTTTCATATTTTTTGTATGGTGTAATTACCATATGGCCTTTATGGTCATTTTTTTTTTTATCTTAGATCAAGGGGTATTTTTGGTTTTTTAACCTTGATTTTTTTTTTTTACAATTATTGCATGGGATTAAGAGTGTTTTCATCTATTGATAAATAAATAAAAATAATAATTGGGGTATGCATAACACATGTCAGTAGGTGAGAAGTGCCCATGTCACGCGTCGCTTCTTGATAGCTATTGGTTGCCTTTCACAACAGTGTTCGAAGTATTGTGCCACCCTTTACATGGCAAGCATGTCAGCCTGTCAAAATTAAAAATTGGTCATCAATATTTTAATTGTATTGAATTTAATTTGTTTGTTCTTTAATTTCATTCCCTTACATTCAATTTTTTATATATTTTTAATTAATTTTAATCCTCATTCTTTTGATTCATATTTATTTTTCTTTTAATTTTTTTCTAATTAAATTTTTTTCAATTTAATCCCTAATTATTTGATTTTAATTCCTTTTTTTTAGTTGAGTTTAATCTTCATTCTTATATTGCAAATCCTTATTTTGAGTTCTCTTTTTGATTAATTGTTTTTTTGGCAATTTCATCCATTATTATTTAATTTTATTAAATTTTTATATTATATTTGGTGCTTATATTTTTTATTATACATTTAAAATCCAATTCAAGAGTTGACCACCGTCACGTCATAGGTCATGGGCTGGGTTGAATGATCGGGATTACTGGTGTTAATCATATTTTTTATTATGCAATAAGTAAAAATAATATTATTTTGATTAAAAAATAATAGCAAAAAAATAATCAATGGATTTTTATATGATTTTCCCTAACTCATTGCTTGATTTTTTATTTGTCTAAAAAATAAAATTGATATTATCTTGATAAAAAAATAATGAAGTAAAAATTCAATTATGATCTTCTTTCTTTACAGTGATTTTCTTTCTCTTGATTTTTTTAGATTTTTTTTTAATTTCATCATTTTCAATTTGAAACACACACATGATATTCATTATCTTGATTGTTGTTTTTTATTTTTTTTTTATTTTTTCCTTTTTAATTTGGTCCCTTGACATTTTATTTCATCTCTTTTTCTATAGACTTAGTCCTCATTTTTTTTTAATTGCTTGTTTATTTATAATTTTATAATTTTATTTTTTCTTTCAATGTTGTCCCTCAAATTTTTATTTTATTTATTTTATAATTTTGGTTTAATTGCTCTTTTTTACCCCTTTTTTTTTCTCAATTTAGTCTCTCATTATTTTTTTTCCATAGGTTTTCTATTAGATTTGGTCCTCATTATTTTGATTACTATTATTTTTTTTATATTTTTTGATGATTAAGAATTTTATTTAAAATTATTTTTAGTCTTCATTATGGTCATCTCGATTTTATAACAAGAGTTGCTAGTTTTGAAGATTAGCTCAATTTTATTTTATTTTTTATTTCATCCTAAAATATAAGGTTGTTGAGCCTTGAATTTTTTATTTTTTTATTTTTTTTTAGGATTATTTTAAATCATGGGTTAATCAAATTAACCCAAATTTACTTAAATTATCATCGTTTGAATATTTTTTCTGTTAAAAATATTAACCCATCCTATGGCATAACGTGACTAAAAAAATCTAGTTATTGATTATTTTGCATTGTATTTATTTAAATATTTTTCTTTATAATTTTTATATATTGATATCAAAATAAAAATACAAAAAAGTTCTAATACATTTCAATTAAATATTACACAATAATAGTATAATACCGAACACATTATAAACATAAATAAAAGGGTAGAACTGTCATTTAGAAATCTCCGATCGCCCAGCTGTCTGGTCAACCAGGGAGTGAACAATTGCGTTAACGTTATAAACCATCTCTCCGTTCTCTCCCTCCCCTGTAGTCCCTAGGGTTTTACCTGGCCCGTCTCTCTGTTTTTTTTCCTCTCTCTCTCTCTCTCTCTCTCTCTCGATTGATTCTGTGTATCAAATTGTTTCCCGGATTATTAAGCATTCAGCGAGTTCCTATCTCTACATTCTTTTTTGTTTTTTTCCTAGAAGCATAAGAAGTTACGTTCTGTCTTCTCCTCGAAGCATAAGAAGTTACGTTCTCTCTTCTTCTCGAATCCGATCTGTCTTCTGGTGATTTTACGGGACTCCAAACCCTAAATCCTCTCTTCTCTTCCAACAGATGCCCTGTCTCTTTTAGGTGAAGCTTTGAATCCTTTTATATTTACTCTTTTTTCCCCCCCGGTTTCTTTACATTTTTGTGCTATTAAAGGAGTGGATGATTTAGAGATGCAAATGAAAAACTAATTACTTCTATTCTGATTAAGTAAAACATTTCGGTGAAATCAAGAATCTGCATTTTTATTTTGTGCACAACCAAGCATCTTCATGCCTGTTTTACAGTGACTACAGATAATAGAAATTGAAATGCCTGATGGAACTGTTTTTCTTTTTCTGTTTTTGATCATTCTGTTTTCTCTTTATTATAAATTGTTTTTTATAAGCAATAAATATTCTCTTTTGATTCTGTTTCCGTTTTCAAGATTTGATTTCTGAAGTATTGAAACCACCTTCTATTAATTTATGCATATCAATTCTTACAGTATTGGATAAAAAATGACCTCTAGGCTGTTTAAACCCTGATATCTCACGCTAATTCCGTTGAGGTGCGGAGCACTTTGTTTTGCTGTTTTAGATGATTTTTTTTCCCGTTTGATTAAGACCGCTGTTTTTTTTTTTAATGCAAACAAGGAAATAATTATTGGTTACTCTAAAATCAGTAGTGTTCAAAAACACTTAAATGTTGCTTTTCTAAATTGTAATTTTGGCATTTGTATTCTTTGGTTGCTTTTGTTGCGTGAGTCTACTATAACTATGATTGCAATTAGCTGGAGAAATCCCTATCTTTAAGGATTTAGTTTGGCAAGAAAAGAAAAGGGAAATGAGCCTGGAAGAGATTAATTTACATTTTGTGACATGGTAGCTTAAATTTCTACGTCAGCTGTCTGCTTGGAAACCTGATGATATTGCAATCCACACAGAAATCCTATGATGTTGATCAGAATAAATTGAAATCCCTGACTGGTGGCTCATCGAATTGACTCCCTAATCCTTGTGAGCAATCCAAAGTGAAATGTCCCCATCACTCCATTTGGTGAGCTGTTGTGAGTATTTGGCTTTGATGTTTGAATGCACTTGCCTGATGTTTGGTGCTCATTTGGATCCAAAAGTGGCACTCCAATATAATTGATTTCCAGCTTGTACATGTTACTTCTATCATAAAATACAAATTCCTTGGAGAACATTTTCTTGATATATTCCTCAAATTTCAAGTTGGTTGTGGAAGTTGATAGTAAACCAATAAAGTTGAATTCATTGAATTTCTTTTGGGGTGGGGTATTTATTGCTACTCCGTCAATTCCTTCTCAGTTTATTGTGTGTTAATCCTTTATTTTCTGATACATGCTTATTTTGCATTCATTATATTTCACTCAGCCGCCTGATCTTTATGAGCAGAAGTGGAATTAATGGAGATTGATAAGGAAAGTAATAGAAGCACGCCTAGGGAAAGGGAAAACATTTTGAATCTAAGGCCAGTTGCACCCGATGAATGTGGTGAAGGTTTGCCATATGCTCCCGAGGATTGGCCAAATCCTGGTGATACTTGGACTTGGAGGGTTGGGAGGCGAGTTGCTATTACTGGCCATTATTTGGATAGATACCTTTACCTTCCAATTCGTCTTTGTCGTCTTGAGAATACAACACGTAAGAAACATGGTTTTGCCAGCAAGCTTTCAGTTGAGCGATATATCCGATCTGTATTTCCTAATGCAGACATTGGTAAATTTTTTGCTTCATTCAGTTGGAAGATCCCATCAAAGCAATCCTCCATAAATGGTTAGTTACAATTAATTCTATTTTATCTTCATATTTTCTATATGTGCCATCTTGAGTTTCATAAGTTTTTTATTTATTAGAGCTATAAATTATTCTCAGCATATTTCCATGAACATGTATACCAGTCATTCCACCCAGTTGTTCTTTCTTCAATACTTTTTGTGGAACTAGTGATTTTACATGAAAACTACCTGTCAATGGCTTATAGTAATTTCAAACTGCTGCTTCAAAAAATAAAAAATTGCTGCTCCATTTGATCAGGCTGAATTCCAGTTGCACTATATGGGAATCAATAATTGAATTTGATGTCAGCTTAAAATTATCCAATTGCTGTGCAATTGTTGAGTAGGTTTATCTTTGAGAACAGTGTACCTTATCCATATTTTACTTTGACGTAGCTTTTTTAAATTTCTCTCTTCACCCAAAGTGGCAAAGGCACTTACAAGCTCCAAAAGAAAATGATCCAACAAAATAGCCTGCCATTAAAAATGAAATGCTATCTTGACCACATTGAATGGTGACAAGTTGTTTCTTTTCCTTGAGTATGATATCACTATTTCAACTTGCCAATCATGGCAGTTAAGGCACTGCAGTTAGAAAGCGCTTCTAAAAAATTTTGAAATTTTTTTATTTTTTTTTACTTTAAATTAATATGTTTTTGATGTTTTCATATCATTTTGATGTGCTGATGTCAAAAATAATTTTTTAAAAATAAAAAAAAACATTGTTTTAATGTGTATGGAATGAAAAGTACTTTGAAAAGTAACTGCTACCACATTCTCAAACACCCTTTAAAGCTTGACCAAAAAGTAGCTGATATTGAAGTTCTGAATTTGTGATGCACATGCTTTATTTGACGAGTACACATCAAAAATGGTTATGTGGTTGCTGGGTGTTTTGTGGTATGTTAGACCAATCTTCAATCATCTTCCTTAGTGTTATGCCACTTGATATTTGAATTGGCAATCTTTGAGATAGGTTAGGATAGTTTCTCAGTTCTAATTGTTTAAAATATTCCTAAAATGCGTGTAAACTTGGAAAAGTTTTTATTCATTGATAACTGAACAATGCAGGTAATGTCGAGGGGCACTTTTTTTTCCCTGTACCTTCTGAAGAGACGGCTGAACTTTTTCTGTCTGATTCCCAGCATGATAGTGCGGGTTGTAAAGCTGGAAATAAGATGTGCGCCAGTCTTGGGTTAGAAACTGAAAATCAACCCATGGCTGCCATGTCTTGCGATATATGTTGCAGTGAACCTGGTTTCTGCGGTTATTGTTGCTGCATCCTCTGTTGCAAAACTATAAGCTCAAAACATGGAGGTTACAGCTACATAAAATGTGAAGCAATTGTTAGTGAGGGTCATATATGTGGCCATGTTGCTCACATGAATTGTGCTCTTCGGACCTATATGGCTGGCACTGTGGGAGGAAGCATCGGTCTGGATGCTGAGTATTACTGTCGGCGCTGTGATGCAAGGACAGACCTAGTGCCACATGTTACAAGGCTTTTGCGAACTTGTGAAACTGTTGATTCCCAGGATGAAATAGAGAAAATATTAAATCTTGGTTTCTGCATTTTGCGAGGTTCACAGAGAGCTGATGCAAAGGGATTGCTGAAACGCATTGAGGTAGCCATCACGAAGGTAAAGCTGGTGTTCTCTAGGCAAGAGAATTTATGGCTTTTATGATTTTTAGAAAACTTAACCTTGTCCATCCTTGGGTTTGCTATAACCATTAGTAGTATGACGATTTGGTATTGGCACCAGATTAAATGTGGGACTATTCTTGAAGATATCTGGAAAGTGGAAGGGGAAGTCTCAGCCATTTTGCCTGGTAATGTTTTTTTTTAAACTGTTTCATTCAAACTGTTTTTCTTTCTGGCAACAACATTCTATTGGTTGAGTTGATAGTTTTTCAGTTCCTAAGATATGATTTTTGATAGAACAATTCCATTGGGTGTAATCAACACCCTGGAGCTGTCAGGAAAGATAGCATTAACAAGTAATTCACGTAGGGTCTTGGAACAATATCACCTTCCATGATTGTTTCCAAATATTGGATTGGCAATAATTTATTCATGAAGGATCCCCTGAATAAATAACCACAATGGAGGTGCAATGGTGCTTGTTTTGTAAGGTAGGCAAAGGAGAGAAAACTGGAGAAGTTGCTGGAACAAACTTTCTGGGTTTCAATTATTGTACACAACTATCTCAGATTGAGTTACAGAGGGATATGGTTAAAAACCTTAAGTTCTAATGACTAAGTAACAAGAAATCCAAATCACTGGTCTAGATCTCTAGCAAGTATCACAAAACATAAATGGTACTGTGTTTCCCATGGATGGTTCTCGTAAAAGATAGTTGCATTAATTTTAAGACATTAAGACACAATGTGCCCATGACTTCAAATTATCTTTTTCTTTATTTGTTTCAGCTTTTATTATTTTTATGGGTAATATATTTGGGAGCTCTCTGGTCATCGAGTTTTGCTTCCAGTGGATCAGACTCTCTCTCTCTCTCTTACATTTGTAAACATGTTTATATCATTCATACACAGCCGTCTCTCCCAATGGAAATGCAATGCTGGAAGTTAGTAATCATCAAGACATTCTGGACTTTAGAAAGAGCTCACCAGATGTGTCCATGTCTTCTGATAGCCAGACTGAATCTCTGAAACTTGAGGATGAGATCAATCAGGTCCTCCAGGCACTACGGGTTTCACAGGAAGCTGAGTACAAAATTGCAGAGGAACGACTTTATGCTCAAAAGAAATATCTTCAGAACCTTTATCAGCAGTTGGACAAAGAGAGGTCTGAATTGGCACGTTGCACGTTGAAAACCAACCCAGATGATTTGCTGAGTGCTGTGTTGAGCAGGGTGGACCAGATAAACCGGGAAGTGACAAAACTCAAGGATATGGAAGAAGTCGCCAATGGATTTGGAAGGACGACAAAAGATATTCTTAAGGAGCACTTTGGTTTGGAAGTTGAGAAATGAGTTTTTTCTTCGTCAGGGGTTCATCAAACTTTGATGGTGCGCTGTCTGCCTTCACTCTTGATCAGATCAGCTGTATATTTTCAAAGTGTACATGCTGTGGTACTTTCATCTGCAGACACGTGAATGAGCACACATGCAGAGATTTAGTTTTGTCAAGGAGGAACTTTAGGTGCTCAACAAGACAGGATGGAATTTGGGTGATTTAAGTGATCTTGGTGCCTTGATGCTGAGCAACAGTGTTTCAGGCCAATGCTATATCAAACAAAGTATGATACACAATAAGAAGTAAACATAGTTACGATTTGTAGATTTGACCGGGATTCGGAAATACCTACAAGTACTCAACACACAGGCCTAGAAATTGGGAATTGGATGACTTATGTACAACTTTAATACCGTTTTATTCTCTTGTTGGTTCTATCCGTCAGCTGATGAATAATAACGCATGAATCTGTCGCAGATGAAGCTGCATCTGTATGGTACATATGAGGATTGGCCAGACAGGTTGTGAAATGACCAGTGCTAACATTTCTTTACAATCTCTGTAATCTTAGCTTGAATCCCATCTTGATATGTTGTCAAATGTATCTCCACTTGATGATGTGGGTTTCTAGAGTGCTCGATTTATTTGATTATAGTTCTGTTTTATTTTTTTATTTTTTGTTGTCCAAAGGGAGCTCAAAGGAACGGGAATTACACAATCAGCAGTCCTCCAATGAAGATTAGCCTCCCTCATCCCCGGGTAATGCCTGTTTATTATGAGAAGAAATTTAGCACTAAATCAATAAAAATATTCGACTGCAAGTGAGTTTTTCTTCTTTTTTAACTTTCTACACGGTCCATTTCTTTGAACATGATCTTTTCTAATAAAAATCCCAAATTCTTAATTACGAAAATCCTCCTGTGCATGTATTTTTTCCCCTTAATAATGTAAGATTTTCGCTGGTTCATCAGTGCATTTAAGAAAAATTTTATGGTATTCATATCTTATTAGTTATTGTCTAATTTTTTTTTAAAAAATAAATATAAGTAAAAGAAATTTCAAATTTCAAATATTCTTATTATTTTTTATTTATTTATGGATCGTATTTTAGCCTGTCGCGAATTCCTAGATTACCAGGTCGCATGTTTCGAGTTGTCTAATGAGATCTTAGGTTTTAACTAACTAGCTTGTTAATAATCAAAAGATATCTCCTAGGTTACCCTTTAGTTCTACGCAAAATCCTCGCATTTCAATATAGATTCTTTACCGAACCAACTCCTTTTATTCCGGGGTCAAATCTTCTCTTTAATAAATCACAGCATGATTCTCTATGGGAAAACGAAATAGGCAACTAACTAGAAATCTATCTATCCGATTATCTTTCTATGTAAAACGATAGCATCATCTATTACTGTTTATTATTATCTTAAACAAGTTATGAATAACGTGATCAATCTACTAAAGCCATGTATTAATATGAAAATCCTACATGCCCTTCCACCATTTATGAAGAGCAAAGGGGAGAGAAACCGGATATAATCTTCTTCAATAAAAAAAAATAAAAATAAATCTACAATGTTGTTTAAATCAACTTTAAGGTCCCTGTATTGTTTGAAAGCTCACTTTTATCATTTTACACCCACACACAGAGTAAAAACAACATAGATAAAATTAACTACATTAATTATTACAAATCATCAGGTAAAAAACTATGTTAATTAGCAGAACACCCAAACTATAGATGTTACGATGTAATTTATTCTCATAATTAATTTATTTAATCAAAATCGGGTCACCGCGAAATGCAAATGTATATGATTAGGTCTTTAACAATATTTTTCCTAGTTTTGGAGAGCGCTTTGTCTTTTAACCCGTGTAATTTCTGGGAACGATATATCTATCCATCTAATGCTATCTGTCTTTAAAAAATATACATTTTCTTTTATTAATCATTTACTGCAAAATCTTTTTAGGGTCAAATCAATGCACTGCAACGTTCTAAATTTCTGTGAAATTGAATTAACTGTTTTAAGTTATCCATGAAGGCGTCTATAATATACAAACTTGATAGGAATGTCCCTGTCATGAGGGGGTGCACCGAGTGGTCGTCTCGAATCTCAATTGATTAAGCCATTATAATTTATAACCTCCGTTGAGATAGAATACTACAAGTCTACAACCACCTGGTTTCGGTTGAAAAAAGTTGCTATGAAGGGTCGGGTATCTGATAGCGATCGCTCGAAGCTGTGCCGTGGCTTGCATACGGCGACTAAGGAGGACAAGCACGTGGGCATATCTCACAGGAGGTTCTTAAAAGAGGAGAAGCTCGTGGGCATATCACAGGCACTTTCCTAGTTTCCTATTGCGTGACCAGAATTCTCAATGATGACCATACAATGCAATAATAAACGTTTCAGCTTACATTTCAACAAATTATTGACATTACAAGAACCGATCATAATGTTCGACTTATCCAAAAGATGCAGAAAAAATTCGAGAGCCGTGTAATCGCCAAGACGAGACAATGACATACGCCGGGGGGTGGGTGCAATTATTGTGATCCACCCAACCTAGTCCTTCATAAACGCAATCATTTCTTCGGTCATATTGTCAAACATAAGATCGTGTATGCTAGAGCCAGGCGCAAGGTATGTGACTTTTACTTCCGCTAATGACTAACTGTGCAAATGAAGCATATGCATTTACTGCACAAACAAACAATGAAAGGGACACAGCGTTATCCTCTAGCAAAGGGCATCATGCGCGTGTACTAATAATAATAAAAAGAGAGAGAGAGAGCACCATGAGTGGTGCCAATTGTTGCTTAGTTACGCGAGGCAACCAGAAGGTCATAATCTGGCAGTTATTGCTGCACAGCCTCCTCCATTTCTTTGTGTTTTAAAGCGAGAAGGCTGTGCAGCAACAAGTGCCAGATTAGCCAAATTAACTGGGCAAATTCTACAAGGATGCATAGTAAATCAAGTTTTTGTTGCTGCTCATACATGTGTAGTTGATTTCTTAGAGTTTGACACATCCTTACAGCGGAAGGCCAAGTTGGCAGATTTCATTTTGCGAGAAAAAAAGAGGTTAGCTTTAGAATGCCATTTAATAAATCCAAATCCATCACTTAATTTGGTCTCCCAAGGTAATTATGGCTCAACTCTAAAAAAACGTTAAAAGAAGACCATGATGAAGTGTAAAGCTATGGGAGTGCATTTGATCTAGTAGGAAAGTCTTACACTAGAACAGCCAAATAAAGATACCTACAACGTGGATTACCTTGTCAACCAGGAATATAGTGTGAGAGAAAGGTGGTTATCACTCTTAAAAGTTATACCGAGAATAAAAAAAAAACTGTTAGAAAAAAGATTTGTCACGCAGAAAAAGAAGTGGACTAAAAGGTCTCGTAAGACAACATAATTTACCATTCCTTTACAAAACTTGAAATTCTAACAGCAGCAAGCACACAAAAAGTGCTAAATTACAAGACAAAAGGAACAGGGTCCAAGCGCGGGCGGCTTTACGTGGGTGAGAAGAGCATTTATTCCCAAATCTCAACCATCCAGGATGCTTCTAATTTACAATGACCAAAAAAAGAAGAAGAAGAAAATTGTAAGCATGTTTAACATCATTGGTGCTAGGACTTATAGACCAATCAAAGAAACATTGTCTAGGAATTGTATCCAGCTAATCAACGAGAATGATATGAGAAATTGGCAGGAATACATATATGGAAGGGGCTATCTTCTGATCACAAAGCAGGGGCCATAAGACACGAACAAAGGTATAAAATCTTATATGAACATGAAGGCCAAGAATACCAAAAGAAATACTCAATTCAATTCTTAATCTAACATAAACGAAAAGCCATTTCACATGTACCATTCATGGCATTCATGCCTGCTCCTCTTGTTGTCTAAAACCACATTTGACACTGAAGCTACAATGCTTAAAACCAAGTCCGAACACCCAACCAAAGCTCTCACTAATACTAACAACAACAATCACACCTCAATCGCAAACCAGTTGGGGTCGGCTATGTGTATGCACCATTCCCCACGATCATATAATATCAACACTGAATCAAAATGAAAAACCATCTAGCACCTGAACATGCCAAAACATAATAAACTAACAAGGTCTCAAACTTTAAAAATTCAATGCTACTACTACCACACTCATTATGCACACAGAAAAAAAAAAGAAAAGAAAAGGACAGAGAAACCTCGACTATTTTATTAATCATCAATGACAATGGTAAGCACACAAATCCCAGTCCCAACCACCTTAAGAAACTAGCTTCCAGAAGCTGTGGGAGAAGAATATGGAGGTTAAGAAGACCAAAAGTTTACACAATTCGAATCTGAACTATCAAAAAGAAAGAAAGAAGACAACACATAACATCCATTTCCGTTGCTCTGCAACCACACAAGACATAAGAGTGCATAACAAAAAACCTGGAGTTTACAATGCTAAAAACCAAACAATCAACAAAAGTTCATGCTAACACTAACACTAAAATCAAAGTGAAAAACCATCTTGTACCTGAGCATGCCAAAACATAATGAACTAACAATAGTCTCAAACTTCCATATTCAATGCTACTGCTACCATACTCGTTATACACACACTCAAACAAGAAAATAGAGAAACCTTGATTGACTCATTGATCATCAATAACAAAAGTAAGCATACAAATCCTGGTCCCAACCACCAACCTTAGAAGTAAAAAACCAAGTTCCACAACATAATTCATTTAAATAACAAAAAACCAGGCAGCTAGAAAGCAGTACATTTTATCATTATCATATCACTGTACAAGCACAAGCCTAGCATTATTATTGTTGTTGTTACTATTATTTCCCATACCTCCTCTAAATTCGCCATTGTTATTATTACCATTCCCTTCCTCCTCCACTTCCTCTCCTTTCGGAACCGTCACAATCAACTCTCCGTCAGCCAGAACCGCACTCGCAAGCTCCGGCCTGGTGGTTTCTGGCAACCGGAACCTCCACATATCCAACTCCAAATCATCAATTGGAGATAATTCTAGATACCCATTTGGCCTAATCACAATTTTAGTTACTCCAGGATAGATTTCAACGGTGTGGGCCCTCACTTCACCGATGTTATTATCTGTTTCAGCAACAAATCGAAAGCAATCAGGATTTTCCTCAACCGAAACGTCAGCATCTGACCGGAAGGGGAGTTCCAAGACCCGGCTGAATATGTGGGGTAGCCTCCTGAGTTTCTTGTGTTGGGACCCACCAGAAGATGATACTAAAGGGTCTCCTCTATGATCGTAGAATTGGATTGTTATGTTGTTTCTCTTCTTGGGTAATGGATGCACCTTCATGGTTTCTCGATTTGTTGGTGCGTTGTTGGTGAAATGGGTAGAATAAATAAGTAAGGAAACAAAGATGCTATAAGGGTTAAAGAAAGTAAGAATTTCTTGATTTTCTCGATAGGAATCAAAATCTTGTTGGGGTTGTGGAGTGGAAAGGGAGAGAAAATGTTTGATCATATATTAAGAAACAGAGAGAGAGAGAGAGAGAGAGAATGGGTGGTGTTTGTGGGTGTCTGTTTCTTTTGGTATCTGATAGGAGAGGAGAGAAGCAGAGGGAAACCTTGAGGCCTCAAAGAAAGAAATGGGATTATATTATGCCTTTTTGCAACATATGTGTGAGTGTGACAGAGAGAGAGATTGAGTGCTAAAAGGGGAGAATTAATTTTCGTAGGGTGGATTTGGATGGGAAATATTTGGAGGGAGGCGACGATAAGAAAATACGTTTGTCTATGAAACGAATCAATCTTCCTTCCCTTTTCTTTTCTTGTTTGTGCAGGGAGCGTGTGGAGAAGAAGAACGAATCCCTGAACAGATAAAGGAGAATAGCATTTTCTTATTGCCCCTGGTCTTCAAGTAAATTACCATTTTTAACAAGACTGTATATTTTTTAAACATTTGTTTAATTTTTCCACAATTATCAATCAGATTTATCTTGCATGCATTCCATAATGTTAATGCTATGTCATTTCTCCGATCTTATCTAACTGTGACGAGAAAAATCTAAATCATTCACAAGGCGAAGGTTGCTTGGCGGTTTAAGAGCGCCCAGGAAACCAAAAAAAGAAGAAGAGAGAGATTAGAGCTGGATTTCCTACCAAGGACGCGGTAAAAAGGATGGTGACATGCGAAGATACACGCGTGTTCAGAAAACAGGTAAACTGCAGTCATGAAATGAGTTATTACAGAAGAAAAGGAAACAGCATGCCAAGTTCTTTAATTCTCAGTTTTTCATGATTTTATTACTTGAGATATATCAGTTAGTTAATCAACGAGCAAGAAAGAAGAAGATGATGATCTCCTTGCTCACCCTTTTTAAACCGAAGCCATACACGCATCTCCCTCCTTCATAAATTATGATATTGTCACAATATTTTTTTAACTCGTGGATTCTACGTTGTTCCATGAATGTCTAACTCAGGTGGCGGCCATATAGCAAAAGGTCACTAGTTTTTTGCCTATAATATTGTATTCCATCGTGGATTGCAAAAGCTACTGGAATGATAGGTTACTTATGAATCTCGGACTTATTTTGTGGTGGGTTTTCATTTAAAAAAAGATAAAGAGTGATCGCGAATTTGATGCCCCCAAGAAAATGAAGGTTACATGATACCTTCTTTACGGTAGTATTTAAAATTATGGTTAAGGTTATTTTTAAAATTTTATTTTTATACAATTACATCAGAACAATCTAAAAAATTATATATAAAAAAAATTAAAAATGCTCTAAACCAGAGTATTTTAGCGATTATAAAACTCATCATTTTTCGTTTGGCTAAAACCTGACTGCACGGAAGGTCCCCAAGATGGCTGTAAGTTTCTAGCCTTTTGATACTCAGGCGGTGGCATTTGCGCCGATGTCCCCAGATGCTCCCGTAATTACACAGCTACCAACAGTAACCTCTTCTTTCAGGCAGACAATTAATAGCCTAACTATAAGACCCGACCAGCCTGCTTAACATGACAACCCGGTGATCTATCAACCCGAGACCTATCATAATTTGAGCAAGTGAAAAAAACTGTGCTTTTCTTTTTTATAACAAAAACAATATTGTTTCTGGTTTTAAAAAAAATCAAAACTTGGAAGGTTGGCAAATGAATCGATTGGCCAACTTGAAACTCGAGTTGTAGGCCAAGCTGAACCCAAGCTGGTCTTGTAACCATGTTTAAGAGTCTTTCCTTTCACGGGAGTAGATTCAAACTGATGCCACCTACTCTTCTATTATGTGAGCTGAGGCACAATAGGTCATATCACTGGGTGCATGTCTACCGTTTCTGAAGTTCGCAATATTTCGACATCTGATCCAACCCAGAAACAAAGGGATTGATGAAAGAAATGGCAAGAGCATGTTTCAGGTCAGCGACCGCAAAAATTAGCCATCAGGTAGCTACGTTGCCATCTTGTATTATAAGCATTTCAATATGATCTCCTTAACAATGTGATACTATCACCACCTGCACAATGCATCATGCATCATGCTCCTTTGACCATATTAACGCCCCATCAAGGTAAATTCATAGCTTTGGCACCTGATCAAACATAGAAAAGTTCCAACACCTGTGCTGCTAAGGCATATGCGATGATTAATGTCTATCTACTCTCCAGTATAGAGTATTCATTGCAACATACCACATATAGACATTTAAGCTCACCAGAGTTGCTCATGGAGTAAAATGAACAATACTTACAGAATTTGTCTGACAATTCCAGTTCAACAGTATGGCATATGTGATAACTAACTACAGAAGGTTTGGCTTCCAAATCTTCAATAAGCATTCTCTCCGGTTTCCTCCAAGTCTATCACCAACCTTAAATCTGATGTGGCTGCAAACGTTCAGAGTTCATAGAAGCTTCTTGATGGTGCATCCGATGCCTACGATGAGATCTTTTATGGCTACGATTAAGTACTCTGGCAGGTTTGCCTGATGTACCAAGGTGATGGATCTCCTCCACAGGGGCCATGAAACCAAAAATACTCTCTAGAGGGTCTTCCATTACTTTGGCATCGAGGTTCATCTAAAACAGAATGATTAGATTAAATAATGTGACAACTAAGAAACCATTACAATTTCAAGCAAGAATTTAATATACGCTCAAGTAGAATAGACCATTTTAATAATGTGATAACTAAGAAACCCTTTTCTTAATTTTTCCCATTTGTTAAAAAAACCAAATGGAAAGCCTGCTCTTTCAAGGACGTGGAATACAGTGTAGAGGTTGCATTTTTTCACTGGTTGCTAATTTTGAGGGCAGGTTCATTAAGGATTTAGCGCCGATTAAAAAAATGCTCTAAGATATTGCTACCCCACATCAAGATAATGCTGGATGTTGAATTCAATAGCCTGTAACAGATGCAGTTGCTTATTCATAGGAATTTCAATTGCAACTATCCTTCCATCGCAAAACTACCTGAGAAAAACTTTCTAAACCATGGCAAGCAACTAATGCATCCCACGATTGGCACCACATCCCTGGAAATGCATTTCATTTTCAAGCCTTAATTTGCTCTAAATCATACCATTTCCAGCAGGCAAGTTCACTACATTATACAATGGACCAACTACAGAATGTATTGACTAATGGAAGGAGTAGAAAATCTGGTAGTTTTGGTTTGATGCTGCTGACAATCAGTCCAACCTAGGGGAGAAGGTTACCTCCTTTTCCATGGGAGCGCATCTACTCATTCCAAGTCGAGCAAAAGCCTGGATGACTCTGTATAGAAAACTATGGTTCTGAGATTTTGCATAAACGCCAATTCTTGCCTGGTGGATGTGTATACATGCACTTATCCTCACACTACAGTTTCTGTAACAGCATGTAGAAGCCTAACCAATAGCCTACATTTTTGTTTGCCCAAGAAAGTTACTCTACCCATAGCATTAACAGACATGTAATGTGAAAGAAGAAGCATCTAAATGATTCGTCAGATATCCAATGGAAATGAATTATTCCACATGATGCGGATTTTCTACTTCTAGATCTTTCTGCCTTTCAGTATATTGATGGAAAAGAATAAAAATAAATTCTCTAATGAATTCCAAATAAGTAAGGTTTTGTTAAATCAGTTCATAAATGGAAAAAAAAAATTGTTTTATCTATGAATTTTGCTTTTAAAAACTTTGTAATCTTTACCCATTTAGCTGAACTGTCTGCTATATTAAATATATGAAAAACAAATTGTCCAAGAATCATTAAAATTGCATGTAAGGAGCAAAATAAAAAAGATGGATATCCATTCATGAAATTCGTAGCTGCAACATTAGGGGTGTCTTTGTCTGTAATTAAATCCACTATTTGCATGTTCATTACTGACTTTATTATGAATGCAAACACCAGTAAAGTAGTCATGCCCATGTTCAAATAGGAATATTTGGTCAGTGCACTTACAGGAACTTTCTTGGACTCCACATCAGCCCTTTTGATACCAGAGTCACTGTGGGAGGCATCGTGAGAATCACTGTCATGTGTCCTTTGACCATATGCAACATTATCAGCAAATGAATTTCGATATTGAAGGCTTATTATGGGCCTATGCAAGTTTGAGTCATCAAAAACTTTCTCTGAATAGAAACGCCCATTCAAATGTTGCATTGTCCAAGGATCATCTTGATATTTCTTCACCATTCTGTAAATAGAAATATTATTCATTGCGAATCAATAAATAATTCTTCCTCAAGCAATTGAAAACAGATGATGGGAAGATGGAATATAACAGAAAAAATCAGAAATATACAGGAAAAGTTTGACAGAGAACATAACCATTTGAGACATTGATTACACAACAAAAGACAATACTCAGCATTTGATAAGAGATACAACATGGTCTGGGGAATTACTATTTATGTGACAGATCTTAGGAATTTTAGTAGAGATTCAGAAGGCCAGGCCAAGCTTGTTAACTCGTAGAACTGTTAGGAAAAAATAACAGCATATAGTTCTAGCCTAATGGGCCAAAAGCACCCCAGCAATTGTAGCAGTAGAAGTGGCTGCCAAAGCTGGAATCTTGGACACGCTAATGCTAAAGAGTTATTTAACAATGTTAACTTGTCAGGTTTTTAGTACCAGTTTAAATTCAGCACACCCATATGAGCAAAGTTCTATTCAGTCGATGACAGATTTTACTCTTTAGCTGATTTAGTATCAATCTCAATCTTGTATGTTGCAGAACATTCAGAATGTGCTAGATCAAACCAAAATACTATGCAACTAATAAAGAACGTTGAAAGCCAATTTTGGCTAGACAACATGCCAATTCGTTCAAATAATAAAACATCAATATATTCTAACTCATTGTAGAAAAACTGAGAAGTTCACTACAAACAAACAAGGTAAGGTGAACCTACATATTTGCCAACTCCTTCTGCATCCGACTTCCATCCATAGCAAGAATATGATCAACACCGGAATCTAAGGACTTACCAAATCTCCAGAATCCCAAAAAAATTGCAGCTCCTGCAAATAAGGTAAAACTTAAATATTTTTGTCTACACAGATGAAGGAGTGGTCATGTAAATCAGCAATATTAAGGTGTTTGTCCGCATTACCTCCTGAAATGTTGGCTCGAGCAAACCAACTTAGCTTCCATGTTGCTGTCAGAATGCTACAAATAATCAAATACGCAGTACTAGTAGACAAATGATTCTGTCGGCAGCAATGATTTCAGATTACTGAGTAAAAGAACAACATTAACAGCAGGAAAATGAAAAGCAGCAGAAGAAGAACAGACAAGCATGATGTTCTGTCTTGACCCCAATGACGTGCTGATTCGGCATATCTATATGCATAAAAAAGAATAAAAATACACACCTGCCCAGGCAACAGTGGCAC